TTAAACTACTCATTTTGATAATGTATTGTTTTCTGACATGACTTAGTTGTCCATCTGTATTCTCTAGTAGCTGACTGAGCTTCTTTAAGATGAGTATTTTCAATTCTTTGTCAGGCTGTTGTAAATGTCTGTTTGTTTCAGGTTGGTTACTTGTGCTTCACTTTGTTTCTTTGATGCCATCACAGTTTCCTGATTGCTCAGGAGCCTGTGGCAATGTGTTCGAATGTGCACTTTGATGAATCTGGGATTAACTGCAGTATCTACAGACTGGCTTTGTCAGGGAACTCCCTTCACCAGTCGGCCTGTTCACAGATTCTCGACAGGCCATGTGGCGTGTTTCAAGGGTGGTCAGAGCCTGTATCCAGAGAGGTGACCTGAGGCCTGGTTCCATGGGGGCTGAACTGGCACTGGAATAGGCCTTGTACTTGGGTCTGCAGATATTAGCCAGGTGCTGCGATGGGCTTCATCCTTGGGTCCACAGGCAAGGACCTGGAGCCTGAGTTCATGGGGACTGATGTGGCACTAGGGCAGACCTGGAAGCTGAATCTGTGGAGGTGGGTCAGGATTCTGGGTCTGTAGTGCTAGCCTGAAGGCACAATCTAAGACTGATATCTTAGCTTATCATGCCCTTATCTCTATGTGCTTTCAGACTTCTGTCTCCTGCACTTTCTGGCTCTTTATTCCATAGGGATACGTTGGATGATTTCTGTCAGTCAGGCACCATGCTAATGGGGATAATTATCAGAGGCCCTGCCCTCATGGAACCTTTTCTCTGGGATAGTATTAAGACACACAGATCAAAATAACAGTCAGAAATTCCTGATTGGAACCATGAAGAATAATCAGGTGATGAGTGAGACGGAGACGAGGTTGGTGGGGCCTCTCGAGGATGGTGATTTTGGCCAGTATCCAAAGTTGGACAGTGATAGTTGTGCAGAGAGCCAGAAATAGTGCTCCTGAGCAGCCTCCCTGGGAATGAGAGCCGCAGGGTGCAGGGGCTGGGGGATACTGAGCAAAGA